AGGCAGGCGAGTACATCCTCGAGATCTTTTGCATGGTCGGCGTCATTCTTTGAAAAGACTAAGATGTCGTCTAGGTACACGATGCACGTTTTGCCAAGTAGGTTGCGCAGCGCATGGTTCATGACACGTTGGAAGACGGCAGGGGCATTTGTCAGCCCGAAAGGTACAACTGTGAATTCAAATGACCCTTGTTTTGTGCGGAAGGCAGTTTTGGCGATGTCTGCATTGCAAATTCGCACCTGGTGGTAAGCCTGTACCAAATCGATTTTCGAGAAAACTTTTGCGCCACGGGTGTCGTCAAGCAAATCGTCTATACGCGGCATTGGGAATGCATCTTTTATCGTCACTGCGTTCAGGCCACGGTAGTCAACACACAGGCGCATTGATCCATCCTTTTTCTTGACAAAGAGGACTGGTGCACCCCATGGGGAAGATGACGGGCGGATATACCCCTTTGCAAGTAAGTCAGTCACTTGTCGGTCTAGTTCATCCATCTCTGCATGTGACAGGCGGTATGGTGCCTTGGTCACAGGTGCTGTGCCCTCATGTACATGGATTTCCATCTCAGGGCCGCCTGGTGGTGGTCGTTTGGAGGGCGGCTGATCAAGGACTTGGGTGTATCTGGCATGTAGCTCCTGTAGCGCCCTGTCTTGTGTCGTCGTGGTTGCTGCCACATGGATTGCTGGATTGGTATCGTTGTCAGGGAATGTAATTCGTAGCCATCCCCATTCCTCAATTTGGTCGTTTGCACGTGCAGTTTTCAGTGCACTGATTGACATAGGCTTCAGCTGGTCCTCGTCGGTCCGAGGCTCTGCATTACCCCGGATGGACCAGCTTTTCCCGCCATAGTCAAATGTCACCTTGTCAAGGTGGCTGTGGATCGTGGCCTTGTGTTTTTTTAGCCAATTATTTCCTAATATTATATCTTCGGAAACTGGGAGAACAAGGCAATGTACTGTAATTGTTAGGTTGCTCAGGAGGCGCAGCGTTACTGTGCACGACTCGGTGCAGTCCTTGTAGTGTGCGCCATTGGCCAGTTGTATTGGTTGGCTGTGTTGTAGTCGTTCGGATTTCAGTTTAAGTCGGTCGCGGGTCTGTTCGTTGATGATGGTAATTTGTGATCCATTGTCGATGAGCACACGGATGGCTTTGGTGTCTATAGTTGCATTTAAAATCAGTTGGGGCTCAGGTGAGGTTTGTCTGTTAATAGCGGTTTTATTTGGGGGGCAAACGGCAATTTCAGAGATGATAAGGGCAGAGGACTCACATCCACTCATGCCCTTCTTGCTTTTGGGTGTGTATTCTTAGGGCAGCGATGCCACTTGTGTTCATCACTGCCACACCCAAGGCACACGTTGTTGGCAGCCCACTTCTCAAACATCTCCTTGGTACAGCCCGACTGCTTGGAGACACTTGCAAATGGCGGCAGGCCACTGCGTCTCCTTTCTGTCTGCACTGCATTCACCATTATTGCATCCACATTCATAGCTGTATTATCATGACGGCCATGAATGCGCAGGAAGGCTCTGGCACGGGAAGTCAGTGCATCAATCTCGTATACTGTCGAGCTTGTCGATTCGCTCAGAATCTGCTGGTTGAGCATTGGTGGTAGCTTCATGAGGAAGGTCGTGGTCACATGCCTGTCTGAGAGTTTGAATTCCAGAATTTCCGCGAGGTACTTGAATTGCACCACAAACTCCTCTAAGGTCTCTAATGTCCCAGGCTGTTGTAGGTGGTAGTATTTGTGCAGTGTGTCATAGTATGACACTGCACGCGAGTATGTAGTTGTCAGGAACTCCTTGAACGTTCCCCAGTCGCGGTGGTCCTTGTTGTGTTCTGTACAGTGTCTGCGGTACTCGTTTTTCTTGTCTGTTGGGATCTTGTGTGAGGCTACAAATACCCACTCACTCTCGTCTAGCTTTGCGTGGATAAAGTGTTCCTCAGTATCTCTCACCCAGGGTCCAACGGCAATTGCCACCTTCTCTGCGTTGTCCTCGTCTGGTGCCAGTGTCGGGCTGAATCTCATTGCCGATTCGTATGGCGACATTCCAGTCATGGTTACTGTTTTTTTTTTTTTGTTTTTTTTTTTTTGTTTTTTATATATATATATTAACCAGTTTGTCTGTCGGTCAGTCAGTCGTTGATGAGGAAGCGCGGGTTTTCGAACTTGAGGTGCTACCAAATGTAATGCGATTTGGACTAGCTAGAATATATATTAATAGAAATGAGACTACGGAAAGAGCTAAAGAGCTCACTATTCAGAATTCGCCGTACGCGTAAAATATCATAAACATATTTTACGCGTCTGCGCTGTCACGTGACTCGGCCCCCATTTCTGATGTCACAATGCTGGTTTCGACGTGTTCTGCTCAAAGGAAATTATGCTCAAGCCCAAGACATGCCTGACGATCCCGCTGGGCATTGCTGCCACAACACCAACCGGCACATACCTGCGTATTGCCCCATGCAGCAGCCTGGCGTCCAAGGGTGTCACCATTCTTGGAGGTGTTGTCGACAGCAACTACCGTGGCGAGATATCGGCGATTTTGTTCAACACAGGTGCCAAGTCAATTCCGTTTGCTGCACACGACTGCATAGCACAGCTGATCCCGACCAAGATTTTACTGCCATGCCTGGAACAGGTCGATTCCCTCAATACTATGCTTCATGGAGCCAATGGGTTTGGCTCTTCAGGGATGGGGGAGAGAGTCGAGCTACGCATGGCAGCCATCACAGCAATGGCGCTGAAGATGAGCGCAAACCCCGAAGACTCCTACAAGGGTGACAGCAAGTTGGAACACATGATGGAAACAATTAGCAGTGGCAAAGAACCGACATCCAGAGCTGCATGCGAGATTGCTGACAAATTCCACACACAAGGTGGCATCCTGTTCAAGAAAGGACACCGTTGCATTGGCTCAAAACAAGACAGATCCTTGCTGCTGGCTGAGTTTCATGACACTGCAATGGATCCAGGAATCCGACCAACATACGACAAGCTGAGCAAGCTGTTTTACTGGCCTGGTATTTACCAGGATTGTGAGAAGTACGTCACAACGTGTGACCTGTGCCAGCGAGTCAAGGGCAGCAACAGGCCAAGTGATGGACCACTGCAGCCACTACAGATCCCACGACGCAACTGGTCAAGCGTGAGCATGGATTTCATAGTGAGCTTACCTAAGACAAAGGATGGATATGATGCAATCATGGTCGTCGTAGACCGCCTGTCCAAAATGGCACACTTTGTACCAACACACAATGCCGCGACCACCCAGAAGACTGCTGACCTGTATTTCGAGACCATCTACTGCCTGCACGGCCTGCCGGAATCCATTGTCTCTGACCGTGACCCGAAATTCTGCTCATCATTCTGGACTACACTGTGGAAACGGACGGGAATGCAACTTAATATGTCCACTGCCGGCCATGCACAGACAGATGGACAGACAGAGTGCGTAAACCAGATACTCGAGACAATGCTGCGCGCAATGTGCAACAACAAACAGAACGACTGGAACAAGTTCATGCCACTCGTCGAGTTCACCTACAACAGCCGCAGCAACAGCTCGACACAGCACAGCCCGTTCTATACGAATTATAGCTTCCAGCCACTGAATGCCGCCGATATTGTGTTCGACACCTTAACCACTGACCCCAATGCCGACGCAGACAACACAATTGTCAAGATTAAACGAATTAGCGATGAGGCCAAGGAAAACATAGAGTTTGCACAACTACACATGATCAAGAACCACGACAAGAAGGTAACCATGCCCGACATTGTACCGGGTGATGAGGTCATGGTCTCCACAAAATTCACAATGCCACCTTACCTACACAACCGGTCTAGCAACTCCCTGCAGCATAAATGGGCTGGACCCTACAAAGTCGTGAAGCAAATCGGCCGAAATGCATTCCGCCTCAAGCTGCCACCGGACATGCACATACATCCAGTCATCTCATGGTCACACCTGAAAAAGTACCATGCCGCCGAAGATCACCATGCCGAACTCTGCTCAGAACCCCCGCCTGTAGAAGTCGCAGGCCATCTCGAGTACCATGCCGAGAAAATCGTGAATGACCGTGTGTGGCGCCGTAAACAACAATACCTGGTCCATTGGGAAGGTTATGGCGTTGAAGGACGGACATGGGAAAATAAGAGCAACGTGGAGGAGACAGAGGCATACGACAAATACTTAGCAGCACATCCAAAACACAAGCCGATCGCCGGAGTCTGATCTTAAATGGGGTAAATGTGACATCAATTATTGCAATGTCACGTGATGATCGCAATTGGGAATTTGCGATTGTTTGAAATTGTGATTGTTTACGATCGCGATTTCTATTTTCACGGGCGATAGTTTCGAATAGATAAGCGGAGCTCTTTAAGCTTCCTTATAGTGGATTTTTAATAAAATTAGTTAGTACGAATAAGTTTTATTACATACACAATCACAACAATTATTGTTGTGATTTCTTTTTCATTGCCTTTGATTGGAGTACTTAATTAATAATATATTTTGAACCTAATTTTCTATCTATTGAAACAAAGGCTGCAATAATACAACAACAAAACGTGTATCTCTCTCTTCTATTCTCTTGATTTTTGATATGAGATAAATTGATTCTAGTTATTCAATTCACCTGTTAACACTGTGCTTGTAATGAGGTTTGGACTAGCTATAATATATATTAATAGAAATGAGACTACAGAAAGAGCTGAAGAGCTCACTATTCAGAATTTGCCGTACGCGTAAAATATCATAAACATATTTTACGCGTCTGCGCTGTCACGTGACTCGGCCCCCATTTCTGATGTCACAGTGCTTGATGTAAGCCAGGTTGTCATGTGGCACTTCTGCTGCTATGCACCATTGTAACTACTGCAACCAAAGTATGACATCAATTAGGGCAATGACATGCAATGGCCACAATTGTTGATAATAGCAGTTATATTTTATTATGTGCGGATTTAGATTGTTTAGAGCTTCTTTATCACCCTTATAGCATATTTTTAGGCTTGCATTTTAATACCTAGTTTATTGACATTACAGCACCACTCCCATGGGCACAGTGTACCCAGAAATTTCAGCTCACAGCTGGACATAGTCCTTGTTGATCAGTAAGATCTGCCTACCCTTGCTGCATTGGAAAACATTCTCTATGATCCAGCTGCTGGTAAAGTTGTAGTCGAGTTTGTGGCTGGAGATGTTTCCATTGCCTGTTGGTTTTGTATTCTTCTGGTCATTTTATCTGCCATTTGCTTTCCATCATGTTTCTTTAAATCAGTTATAGTCCTTGGGCTGCTCTGAGAGCCTCACTGCCATCAGGCGGGGGTCCTCCACAAGTCTGATCAGGCTGCCTATGACCAGTACTACTGTGTTGGTAGCCTCAAACTCCACCAGGAACTGGTGCATCCACTTGTGCATGGCCATACAGATAGTTGTGCTGTCCATGGGTTTGTTTGTTCCTGGTGGTAGGTACAATCCTAGGATTATTATATTCATCCTACGGAAGTTCAGCATGAGCTTTACTCCCATATAGGGCAAGGCAACATTGTCATGTGTGTTTGTCATCTTGAAGGTCTCTGACTCGCTTATGTGTTTTTTATTTTATTTAATTTTTTTGATATCCAGATCATCACCCCCTTCTGGTGCCCTGCCTTAGAGTATAATGTCGTAATTGCCATCCCTTTGTACATCCCCCTTATTGTGCGATGATGTGCCCCAGCACTCGGCTTGTGTTTAGTATATTTTTGTTTTTGTAAAGATAATATTACCAAGTTTAAATATATTCAGATTGAGGCTATGAAAAGAGCTGAATAAACTCACATTGGGAAATTGCTGTGCAAATGCAATATCACAATAATAAGATTGCATGCATTACTGCTATCATGTGGCCCAGCCCAATTCTGGTGTCACAATAATGTTGGTGCTAAAATTTTATTCTAAATTTGCCACATTAACAAATCATTGAATCGTTATAACAATAGCATTGTGGAAAATCAACTATTATCTTTGTGGCAACGATTGCCATCAAGGATCGGCGCATGGGCAGATGATCGGACCACAACAGCCTTGTGATTAGCTTTAGACTGTCAGTGCCTGAGTAAGGCTTGCAAGCCTACCATCCGGTCTTTTATCAAAACGCACAAACATGAATAAACCACAGTGAATTGGGATTGGCTGAGTGGGCGAGAAGTAAATCAAAATATATAATGGTTGCAACTGTAATTTTCCATTTCTTGGTGGTATTATATGATTGGTCTACTCAATGTGGTCCCTATCACAACACTTCTGACCCGGAGCTGACAAGGATCTTTACTGGCGCTCATTCGAGTCCGCCCGATTAGTATACCATGGAAATAGTAGCGTTCATTCGGATTTGAAATAGGAAACTCCCATATAACGGCGCGCTAGCGCCCATTCCCTCTCATTCCCACTTGACTATATTTTAGTAGCTTTCATTCCATATAAACAAAAGCACCTCTAGAGCCACATTCTGAGCTCGACACTCAACTGTGTAGCGATGTATGTATTTGTTGTTTTATTGTTGCTGCCTGTGGCCAGAAGTTCACACAAACACGTTTTATTTTTATTTTTATAACACACATATATATATTTCTACAAATATTCCAGGCTCACTTTGGGCTAATCACTGACCCGCGCATCTCTTGGTAAAAAAGGTGGCAGACCACATATATTACCACTGTACTGTTGTCGATCAACACAAATAAAAGTATTTTTTTGCGAGTGTAAACAAATGCCAACCAATTGTCACTTTTTTAGCACGTAGTCCATATGTTGTGAGATTGTCTTGCAGATTCGGTAATTTCGCTTTGCGCCATATAACCTTGAATTTTGCATGTAAGTATATGCTTGTCAATTGCCGTGGTGCTTAACTGTGGCCCAGAAGACATACATATTACACGATGTTACGATGTGGCTGAATCATGTCGCTCAGCCCGGCGATCTCGGATTGCTCACGCATGTTTGGCAAGCAAATGTATTTTTAAATGCGTGGCTTATTGGCATGCTTATAAAAATAAACGCCAAACGCCAAACATACCAAACTTCAACTAATAGCATGCATGTGCAATTGTATAAATATTATCATTTTCACAATAATGACACAACGCAGCTTTAGCAGCATACGCATATAAAAACAATGAAAACCAACCGACCAGGCGGCGACAGGTCAATCATACGTTGGGCAATCGTCTTCTTTTTGGTGCATCGATTCACTATATCCGAATGTGCTGGAAGACTGTGCGTCATTATCGGCAAAAAATGGCAATTCGGCATGGGCGCGTGATTGAAATATTTGCGTGGCAGTTGAAGATCCAGTACTATTTGTCTGTAGGTGCCTTTTCTTCTACCACTTAGATTTTAAATCAGAAAGCGCGCGTTATCAGTTTACTAGCTCAGCCGTTTTAAATTAGAGGGAAAAACGCAGCGCATCTGTTTGAAAATCAAGGCTGATCAGCTTTGAACGCTGCGATTAGGTTCGAGGGAAAACTTAATGTGTGATTTATGCAAGCCATACATGTTATTTTGTTGCATATTGTATGCATTTTTGTGTGATTGGTTTCAGATTGTAGTCGAAAAATACTGTTGGAAACAAATATCAATAGTAGGGTTTTTAAAAACAATAGAAAGTAGTTTTTCTTGTAGTTCCATGATGCGTCATTTACACGCCCCTTTGTCAACACACCACATTTGTACACATCATGGGCGTGAATGTATAAATTTGGGGGTTTATATTGTTGTGTTATTGGAGTCAGTATGGTGGCAATTATAAATGGTTTCAAACGTGCAAAATAAAGAGCCCTCACTCCGATTATGCATGAAATGTTGAAAACTAAGAGTAAGGGAAAGCAAAAACAAAAAATTCTTCAGCATATTTCCACACTATTATGTTCAAATTGAAGTCGACGTTGTGCTTTGAGCTGGTACAGCCAGAGGCATAATGTCCTAGGCTGAGATAACATCTAAGAGATGGTTTATTTTAGGCAGCACATGTGGAGCATATTTCACTTCACAGCTAGGCTGGTCAATGCAGCGATTGCTGCTCAAATGGAGAATTAAAAATAAGGAAATAACTTTTTTGTAGGATTGCTCCTCGCAAGTACATCAACACCAAATGCAGAAGAGGGAGGTTGCGCATGAGTAGAGTGTGGGAGCGCAGGTATTGCGCGCGCCCAAGCCCAAATGTTTACATTTCCTGTGCAACGCTGCGACCATTGAAAAATATGTTGGGGGTGAGGGATGCAGAAAAATGCTAGAAAATCCATTGCATGTAAGTTGAGAGGTAATTGAATTGAATCGAACCCAGCTGAACTGAACAAAGGAAATGAACAGGTAAATACTAGGCCAACTTGAATCACGGAGACTCCGACTTGGCCGCCCGCAGCCAACAACCCGAAAAAGAAATGTCTGCTCGCAGAGAACTTGTCCGAGTCATCATTAAGGCCGATTACGTGTTATTTTTCCACTCGGTCTCAATTGTTCGTCGGTGCAAAGTTAAAAAATTGGGCGCAGGCACAAATGGTTGTCGTACTTATGCGCTTGTCTTTTTTGGGCAAATAAGATCTGCGCTCGCGCCCTCACCCGCCATTGTAGCCACACTCTGACAATGGTGCTTGTGGGGAATTCTATTATGGCAAAATGGAGCATGAGTAGGCCAAGTTGCAAAATTGCTGGAATGTGACGTTTGATTGCTGCTGTGGGTCGATCTGCACTCTTGTCCAGACAACAACATAGAAAATAAGGCAAAGGGAGAGGCGTCGCGAAATAAAAAAGAGGGCATTGCGTGCCGGGAAAGGGCCGGGGGGTGGGGCAGTGGGGAGGGCACTAAGGGTGGTTGATGACAGCAAAGTGAGGGCTTTTGCTTTGTGCTTTGGTGGCTGGCTGTAAAGCTGCCACACTGATGCACCCTAATAGCCTGTGCTGTATTTTCTGTACTCTTTTATTATTATTTTTATCATCAAACCACTTATTGCACAATCCGCCGCCTGTGTTGCCTTCCATTAGCGCATTTTTTTGCACCGAGCTTTGCTGGTAGTCACTCTCTATCCAAGCGCCATGCATGAATAAAAACAACAGAATGTAAGGCCTACAGCTGTTAGCAATCCACGCAAACTTGGCAAATAAAGAAAATTAATTTTCCTACACCTAGATAAACTAAAATAGAAAAAAGGCCGAGTCGCTGCTTGTCCACAAAATGGAATAAATAGCACCATCGTCGGCGGCCAAACATTGCAAATCGCCAAAAACACTTTCTTCCAACGCGAGTTTTGAACTTTATATATTCTTTTAATTTTTTGGCACTTTCTCTAGTGTTTTTCTTTATCCGCTCCCCGCATTCACACTGTCAATACTTGGTCCACCTCTCTTCTTGCGTCACTCTCACACACTATCCGGTCTTGTAATCGTAATCGGTCCCGCAATCGTACTCGCTCTTGCACCCGCACATACCTACAAAAGCAACGCTAAAAGTCAAGTCGTTATCAACTATGCTTACATCGATTCACTCCGGCCCTTCAGTCTTTTCTATCAACCGCGACCACCCGATGCCGCTGTTTGAGGCTGAAGAGGATGATTAACAGCCATCCGGTTTGTTATCAATTTTCTGAGCGTGATCTTGACGCATCTCTGACGCACCCTTTTTCACCACTCACAGCAGCACCAACACAGCATCGGCAGCCGTTGAGACTGAATCTATTAAAATTTAGATCCCGCTGATCTCGACACCACACAAACGGCAGCTCGAAAATACACAGAACATACTTTTATTTAGCAACGATGCTAGCTGCTTGTATTACTAAAGTACAGCCACGCCTGTCACAGCCTCTCCATACTCATCTATTACATACGCACTCCATCACCATCTTGTTAGTCGATAAACCAATATAGCTGCATGTTTTTAATTTTTAATTTTTCAACATCAGTAATACGTTCATACACCAAAGAATGAGGCTACAAATATACTATAACGGACATCCCACAGATTGCATAGCAACCTGACAGGTGTTTAGAAACTAGTGGCAATAGACCATTATGGTTGAAGATATTATCCAGTTCGCTGCTTCTTTTAAAGAGAAAAGCAGGGAGAGATGGATTCTTGTGCACACGTTTGGGCTTGGGGTTTGGCTTGGGCAAGGTCTCGGGTGTTGTTGTAGACTCGGTTTCAGCCAACTCTGACGATGCCTTTTGCGCAGAAACAGGGAGGACGCTCGCTTATAAGCAGGGCATTGAGGATGATGCAAAAGTTCAACACCGCAGCCGTGTTGGGATTCCACTTCCGTCTGCCTGATGGCGCTTTTTCGCCATTTTAGCTTGGTTCCGTTGGGCCTGAAGGTTTGCAAGCAGTTTTCCATTGTGCACTGGAGCAAGCCATGTCATAAAATTTGGCGAGGTTTTTCTACTGCCGGAATTGTATTAGCGCCTATTGCGCTACCTGCTGGTACTGGCTATTTTCTGCTACTGCTGCTGCTGCTTCTACTGCTGCTGCCTTTGCTGCTGCTGCGCGGCCAACTGTCGCGCATTCTCTGTCTGATTTTGTGCTCAATTTTCCCCCGACCAGCCGCTCAGCCTGACAATGCACTTGAGATATCGGGGCTAGAGATTAACGCAGTGCTTCCGATTCCGCTCAGCCAGCTCATTCCACAGCTGCTGCTTCACCTTGTAGGAATTTTTTTGCTTAGACCAGCCCTTTCCTCCTATCCACCGGATGATATCGGCAGACTGT